CAAGGAGGGCTTCTGGGTCTCCGGCAGCCCCTCAGAAGAGGGGGCATCAAGGTGACTCACAGACTAGTGTCCAAGGCCCAAGCACCACCGCAGACCAGGGCAATGGGGAGTCTGTCCCACCGGGGGCGCTGTTCACCCTGTGACCGAGGTTGGGAGGGGAGCTGCTGACAAGGAGCTGCTGCTGTGCCAGGTGGCACCACTTCCCGGGGTGCGGAGTGGCCCAAGCCCCATGCCCCTCCCTGTGACGTGCTGGGTTCAGAAGAGTGCAGTAAAACATGTTTTCATTCTGGGGTTTAACGAGCTGTGCACTGTGTTGCTCCCATACTCAAAGTGGGACAAACTCAAGAGTTTTGTAACCTCTTGGAACAAGCCAGAAGCAGCTGCACAGGCTCCCGGCTGAGCTCAGAGGCTGCCCATCTCCCACAGGCCTGCCCGCCTGGGCAGCACTCAGCAGCCTGAGTCATCGGTGGGAGCCGGGCTCAGGGTGCAGAGCAGCCTGGACCCCAGTGAGGAACCTCCAGGGCAGCATACACAGACCACAGGCCAAAGGGAGTGTCCACTCAACATCACGAGAACCTGGAGGGGTGGGGGTGGGGGCAGACCACAAGATGGGGCTTGGGGAGAGGTTGGTGGCTGCCCCCGCTCACCGTCCCCAGCAAGCCAGACCTCTAGGAAGTAGCGATGGCAGCAGGCGGGGATCCTGAGGTCAGGACCTCACACCCCTAGGGAGAAGCTGCCCACCCTGGGCTCCCAGTGCCCACAACACCAGGGGCAGATGGCGTCTGCAGAAGCCAGTCCCAGCTGCTCGGCCACCTGCAAGTCCCACACGATGCAAGATGGGGCCTCGCCACACCCGAGAGCTCTCAGTGGCCCATCTGGCCCCTTCCGGCCCTCAGCCTTGCCCAGAGCCACCCTGAGGCCTCATGGCCACGCCCTGCGTCCACTCAGCAGTGCAGGAATGAGAAGCAATTCTCTGACAGTTGGTGGGGAGGGCTGGCTCCCGGCTTCTAAGGTGCTGGCAGCGCCCACCCACCAGGGCTTTGGCACTGTCCTTAGGAAATCTGACAGCATCTCACCTGCTCTAAAAAACATAAGAACTTTAAAGAGCTCCACGAGAGTAAACCAAGAAGGTTTGTTCATGCCAAGTGAAAGCCACTGGCCAGCGCTTGGCCTCAGACTCGTTTTGCCTAAGAGAGAGGCTGCGAGTGGATGCCTGAGCTGTGGATCTGGAGGTGGGAAGAGGGCGGCCCCCCAGAGGGGGCAGGGGCCCTGTGGAGGCCCAACACTCGACACTCAGGTGCCAGATTCAGGTGAGGGGGCAAGTGTGTGCCTGAGGGTCAGCAAAGCCAGCCTGAAGGGAGAGGGGATGAGTACATAGCAACATGGTGCCCTGGAGGGAGGCACTAAACCCATCCCGGGGTGGAACCATCTGCAGGCAAAAGGCAGCAAGGCCTGGCCACCTGTGAGCCCACCACCCCCACCCCAGTCTTCTGCCATCAGAGCCTGGCCGGCTCCCCTCTCTGGAGACTTTGGCAGTAACACTTAAACAAACACGAAGAAACACTAAGGACACGTAAACTTCCCAGGACGAAGCTGTCAGCCTGTCAAGAGACACTCCGTGCCCCACCTCCTGCCCCAGCTGTGGCTTTGGGGCCAGAACAGAGGGAGGGAGGGACGGAGGGAGGGCTCGAAGTCCAGTCCACAGCCCAGAGTCGCTGCACACCTGGGCACAATGGGATGGCCGGGAGAGGAGCTTTCTAGAAAATCCCTCAAGTCCATTTTAGTGTGAGTGTCCCGGAGGGAAGCACATCGGGGATACTATGAAGAGAAGCAGCTGGTTTTATTAGAGAGATGAATCGCAGCTATATAAACATACGTGGAACTATGATGGGGAGATCTTCACTCTTTCTGTATTTACCGGACTTTTAAGTCTCTGTTAGGTACTGTGACAGAAATTTTAAGAGATTTTATTTTATGGTATAAACTCAGACAACACCTCTATAACCCAGGCAACACTTCTATAACCCAGAAAACTGCCTTCTCCCGCCGAGCGGTCCTGGGACTCGGGCCCTAGGAACTGTATGTACCGGCTCAGGCGTCCTCAGGATCAGCCTCCTCTTGGAGCCAGTCATGGGGATGTGGCCAAGGGAGTCCCCAGGTCCATGTGGCTCATGGCACCCAGGGTGGCCCGGCTGCTGGCCTGCTCCCCGTGCTGGACTGGCCAAGGGAGACAAGCCCAGTGGGCAGAAGCCCAGGGATGAAGGCAGAGGCCAGGAGAGGCCCAGAGGCCGCGTGGGCAGAGACCTGGGCAGGGGAGGCCAGAAGTGCGCCCCGCGGCCTCCAGAGCGCAGGGCGATTTCTTTCTGAAGACGCTTTACAAAAATACATCGTAATTGAGTTTAATAATCGTCTCCCTTCCAGAAAGGTCCTGACAGGCACTGCCTGCTGCTTACTTCTGCCCCATTCCAAATATTTTTACCTTATTTGGATGAAATGCATTATTTTTCTAATGAAAGGCTTTTTTTTTTCCAAAGGGCTGTTTTCCCTCCGTCCAGCGGTGCCTTTATTAGGCAACGCTCACGCGTTTTGGGGAGGGGTTTTTCTCTCCCTGAAATCTCGCCAGCCACTGTCCTCAGAAGCCGAATTCGGTGCTCAGGACCCATGGGGGGTTTGTCCCTCTGCCTGCTCTTGAGCCCCGGCCCCCTAAGTCTCTGGCCCCCCAGGTTGGATGACTGACCAGGACGCCCTGCTGGTCCCCGCCCTAGGAGCACCGTTCTTGGTGGCCCCAGCTCTGCTGAGAGGCACGGAGGCAGAACTGAGGTGACTCCAGAGGCTCCAGGCACTGCGGCTGCTCCGGCGTCCACAACTCCAGCTTCGCCCCCGTCCTGGGTGTCTGTCCTCAGCCCTCTCACTGGACCCACTAGAGAGCGAGCTCTGAAAAGTTGGATGACAGCAAACTATCACCAAACTAAAGAGGTGACCCCTCAGTGGCTGTGCTGCTCAGGGCAGGTGTGTCTATGACCCAGAAGCTAGGGAGTCACTACAAGCTCTGAGTTCCCTGACCCAGCAGTCCCCCAACTGGGCTGTCCGGCATGCTCGCCTCCAACTGGCTGCAAGGACACCTGGGAAGGCAAACCCATCTCTCCAGCTTCAGGGACAAACTGCCAGGCTGACTATCTGGGCTCTGTTGGTCCCTCAGGAGCATGTGAGGCAATCAGAGTGGGGATGTCATGTGCGATTAGTACTATCAAAGACAAAACTTGGGGGTAAGATTCTGGGCCAGGGGCTGGGTGCACAAGGAGTTACTAATTCCGACCCCCTCAGGGGCTTCTCGGGCCTGGGAGCCAGGCCAGTTTGGTTAATAACACCTGGAGCTCTAAAAGGGGGCTAAGTGGAAGGTAGGGTATTCCCTGAGCAAAAGAGCCCCAGTGTCAGGACCCCAGCCCAGCCTCGGCCAACTTCATCGGTCCTTGGCAGGGCTGCTGGGCAGCGGGGCAGGATGGACCACTGTGGTCGGGGCGGGGGTCTGCAGAGGAGTTACCTGCCAAGCTGTGTTCTCCTCGCTCTGCAGTTACCACCTGGCACCTGTAATTTCTGAGCCTGGTGTCTACACCAGGCCCCCTGACATGACAGGCCACTGGTCACACCACTCGGGGCTGGAGGGAGCGGGATGCCCCCTGGAAGGAGCTCCCGTTCTGTGAAGGTTACAAGGAGGTGGGGAGGGCGTGAGGAGCCAGCGGGAGGAAGAGAGGACGAGACACATGCTCTCCTGGGGAAAATATTCATCCATTTAAGGCATAGGAACTCATCCCACTCCACGTCAGGTCTATATACAGTCATATGAGGTCCTTTCTGCGATCAGATATGTCGCCTTGCTGCAGATGCCCCGGACCCAGAGCCCAGGACCCTCCAGCTTTGGTGAGGAGCCAGGAAGAAAAGTCTGGGAGGGGAGATCAGGCCTTGGGACCCCCAGCCCTCCCATACCCTCCAGGTCCCTCCTTAGGGTCCCCCGGCAGGAGGGGCTTCAGTCCAGAACCACTTTTGGGGGCCAGGGTGTGAGGAGAGACAGGGAGCCAGAGTCAGGGATTAAATAGCGGCAACTCGTATTTATTACAATTATATACAGTCATATCTTATATTTTGCATCTATACATGATCACACAAATGAAAGTGTTTCTGGTGGGCAGACAGACATAGCTGCTTGTCAGAAGGCCCTGATGCCTGGCTCCTGAATGGGGCACAAGGGGCACGTCTCGCCATGTAGTCAGCTGAGGCCGTGATGTGCAAGCGAGGGTGGTCAGAGAGCAGTGTGATTTCATTTCCAGGAGGGTGAAGGGCATGGTGAGGGTGGGACGGGGACGGGCTGTGGAGGCAGGGGCCAGCCCAAGCAGCAATTCTGTGGCTCTGCCCGTGCAGACCATCACTGTCAGGGGCAGGACAAGACGGCCCACCAGGCCCACAGCTCGAAGCGAGAGGAGCCCGGGTGCCAGGCTTGCAGGGGTGAGGGTGGGGGCGGAGAGGCAACAGGGGAGGGAGGGAACAGCAGACACAGGTCCTGCACTTCTTTCTCCACCAAGGAGTTAGGAGTCAGGTAATAAACTAACTCTTGTCATGCGTGGTGATAAGGTGAGGACACTCAGCAAACAGACCCTGGATAAGACATTGTTTGGGGGGAGGGGCAGGGCCAGGGGCTTGAGTGCAAAGGCTTCTGAGCTCCCGTCTGGCATAGGTCAAGGCCAAAGGCAGGTCTGATCTGGGCCCAGCTAAGGAAGGCTGGGGTGGGCTTGCATTAGGATGAGAGGAGGGTAAAGGAGGGAACAGAAATGTGATCACACGCAGTGGTCAGGCGAGCAGTGGTCAGGCGAGCCGGGCCCTCATGCTGCCTGTGGCCGGGGCTCCGAGAGGTGCCCGTGGCGAGGACAGCGTTGCCCTACGGGTCTCAGGGCACCTCCCAGGGTGGAGGCCTGGCTGATGGTCCCCCTGAGCAGGCAGGGGCGGGAGCGAGGGCCTAGTCCCGCTCGTGCTCATTGCTGGCCCCCTCCGGCCGCCGCAGCTTGTCCACCTGCTCGTTGATCTGCCCATCGCCGCCCCGGCGGTCCTCCCGCTGCACCCCCAAGCAGTCCTCCTCGCCCACGTGGCTCACGTCGTCGTCCTCCTCATCCTCCTCATCCTCCCGCTTCTCCTCCTCGCCCTGCACCTCCATCCGCACCTGGCCCTTGACGTCCAGCACCCCCGCGCCCTCCTCCGCGGGGCCCAGCAGGTGGTAGGTGGCGCCCTCAGGGCTGTGACCCTCCTTCACGGGTGACGACGACGTGGACTCATTGCTGACGGGTGAGATGTCGCTGCTGCTGTGGTGGTTGGCTGCTGCAGGGCTGGAGGGGGATGGTGACTTGACCGGGATCTGCCAGGAGGGGATCTTGGGTGCAGATGGTGAGGGCGGGAACTGCCTCCTGGGGGGCGGAGAGAGGGAGGGCGGAGGTGGGTGACTCCTACCTTTGAGACTCAGGGGGTCAGAGAGCCCAACAGGAGAGCAGCCCCAGGACCACCTGGCTAGGGCAGCAATGCTGGGGCAGGACCCCCTCCCCTTAGACATGAAACCCCGAGTGGCCAGGCAGAGCCCAGAGGCCTGCAGGGCACCTGCTCCTCCCAGGTGCCCGACCTCCACTCTGTTAAAGAAAGGACACAGGTAGGGGGCAGACAGAGCCGAGACGGGGCATCCAACCCTGTGCATTGGCTTAGGAGAGGGTGGGGGCTGCCCACGGAGCAGAGGCACCAGAACAAAGGTCAGTGTCCAGTGTGTGTCGTAACAACCTCCATCCTCACGTCTCCTGGGAAGTCAACTCCCCGCAGGAGCCAGTGTCCCCGCCTCAAGACTGTCCAAAAAAGCCAATTCCGGGGTGCCTGGGAGGTCAGGCTGCTGGGATCACTCAGGTGGGGTGTCTCTCTACAGCGGGAGCCCTCCTGCTGCCTCCAGGCCCAGCGGCTGAGAGCCAGACAGGGCAATGGCCCTTCTCTCTTAGATTAAAGGGGTTGTGCATTCTGCACGACCACAGCTGTGTCCAGAAAGCCAGTGTCAGCGTCCTCTGGCTGTGACACGGTCCAGGTGCTCTGAGGCCCTTACTGCTACGCTTCCCCAGGACAACTCTGTGTGGCTTGGACACCCTTCTTACAGTCTCAGGTCTTTCTCTTGGGGAGTGGAGCAGCAAGGGAAATGGGAAACTAGAGGCCCCCAAGGCCCCCACTTCGCCCCCCGTGAAGTCCCCGCCTGAGAGTCCTCATAATAGCTGTGCAGACCACCAAACCCTGGCCCAGCAGATGAGCACCTGAGCAAGGCCACGGGTGGGGGGGGGAGATTCAGGTCACATGATCAACTCTCTCGGTCCTGGACACAGACCTTCAGTTATACATGCAGGGCAGACCCAGGAGAACCAGGACAAGCCGGTCACCGGCCATCAGGGCTGTGCAGCCACCTCCCTGCGTGGGTGAGGGAAGGTGCTGTGACAGCAGGAAAAGCAGGGAAGTCTGGGGGCAGCGGCCAGAGGCTGGTTCTGCCTGTGTCTGCATCCTAGGACCCAAACTGGCACAAAGACCCCAGACCCTCTGCTGGGATGTCCTCTGAGAACAGGCAGTCCCAGCAGGGAGTAGGAGGAGTTGGTGGGAAGGAGAAGAGCCCTTTCTGGATGCTCATACTCCAGCGTGGGTCAAAATCGGCTGGCCTCCTCTCCTCAGAGGGCCTTGAGGCCCTTGCCCCCGCAAGTCAGGATGCTCATAGGTGCCTCAGATGGTCACCTGGCATGGGCAGAGCGCCTATGTGGAAAGTGAAGTTCAAAGACTCCTACACTTACAGGCTGATCATACTGTGACTGCCATGGAGAAATGAGATTCCTCCACTACAAACCTCATAACCCAGCCCCAGGCCAGGGTGTAACAAGAAACCACATTTTCTCCTCTTTTTACCGATTTAAAAGAAGGCCCTTCAAGGAGTTGATTTCCGACTTGAGTTCGTTGATGTTCTGGGATTCCAGGATCCAGTTGGTCGACGTGGTGGCCTGAGTGTCACAACACAAGAGAGTCACCATACATCAGAGTGGAGCCTCCTCCAGCCTCAGGGGACTTCAGGGGACCCCATCCAACTGCCAGGATAGGAGGGACACTATTGCTGGCCGGCCTTCCTCCCTGTTCACATGGGGACCTCTTGAAAACAAATGCTCCCAAAACTGTTCTCCAAGGTAAAGAACTTATTTTTTAAAAAGCCTAACGATGGTGGTGTAATAAAACAAAACCAATGTGGCCCAATGTGGCCCACAGCCTTTATCATTCAGATACACACAGACACACACACACACACACACACACACTCTCTCTCTCTCTCTCATTCACTCACTCTCTCTCCCTGGGTGGCAAAACGGGAATACATGGGCTCCATATGCTACAACCCCCTTTCCTCCATGTGACTGACGAGCCACTGAAAGAGAACAGCACCACTACATCCACTTCAATCTCGAGGGGCCTGGTGGCACAGCAGCTAAGCACTGCTGGGCCCGAGTAGCACCACCTGCCAGCACCTCTACTAGAGCCTGGGACGCCAGCTCTTCATGACTGCAGCCGAGGACCCACCACGTGACAGCTCCACTCCACCTTGTGCATCAAAAATCGGCTCGATGGCATTTAAGCACAACAAACACCATGCACAACCTCCATTCAAATTCTTTCCAAGCAGTGACCAGCACCCTCTGAAGGAACCTCGAGGGTTGAGAAGAGACAGTGCCTGAGGTGCTCGGTACCAGACCCTGGCTTCCTGTGGAAGCCACCCCTAGGGTGCAGCAGGGGGACAAACGTCTCTGAGTGCCTGCCTGCCACCTCCCTGTGCTGACCTCAGGGAGGTGGTCAGGCCTCACCCTTCGAAGTGCTTTCTCCCAGGATTGCATCCCCCACTCCTCAGGAGGTCAGTGTGCCCCACATCTTCCCCACTCTGTCCAGTCATTCCTCCGGGACGATTCTGGGGCTCAGCCACAAAAAAGGACAAGGCTCCTTCCCTGGAGAAGGCCCACAGGAGGGAGACGAAGCCACAGTGATGGGACCACGGTCATCCTTGATGTGCTCTTATCTCTGTTGAATGGGACCCTGTATTTCCCAGTGAGTCAGAGATCACACTTTCCTTTTGGCAAATCACATCAGATGGCACAGGGGACAGCCAGACAGTGGTGCCCCACCAGGAGTCCCCAGGGCCAGGCTGCCTGTGAAGGCCGTGTGGTCATAGCGCGGACCCAGGTGTGTGCCCAGTCACCTGGTCACCCAGGCTGGTGTCAGTCTGGTGTAGTCTCCAGAGCACCAAGTCCTCTCATGGGGTTCTCGCTTCCAGGTGGGCATTAAAAATGAAGCCACAACTTCAAGAGAACGAGGGACACATAGGCTGGGAGTGGAGGTCCTGGGGTGCTCCCTGCCACTCTGCTGTGGATCTGTGGGCACAAAGAACTTGCCTCGATGTGGCTGTGAGGCGAGCTGGGGTATCTGGACCAGTAAGCGCCAGGCGGCTCATCCTCCCAGGCGGAGGAGCACGCCCACTTGCTACCCTCACCCACACCTCTGGGGTCCGCACTCCAGACCCTAGACAGTGAGGATCCAGGAGCCACTGTTCTGGCCGCTGGAGTCCTTGAAAGCGGCAGCAGCCCATTAACAAGGGAGCAGTCTCCACTCACAGGCCCACAGAGGACTCAGATTTCCAAACGCATATGGTGCCAGATGCCTGAGATTTAGAAATAAAATCTGACATCTGGGGCTTTTTAGCCAGTCTCTTTAAAAAACAGTTGTAGAAAACTCCAAGCCTCTAGTTTTATGTAGGTTTTTTAATTACTTAAAGCTCTTCTTTTTAATTTTTTACAGTGCTCCAGTAGGAGTTTGGAAGCCAGATATAAAAACTTACATTACAGCTGAGAAAACACAGCTCTGATTCTCCAGTTTACAGGGTAACCAAAGTCCTCACACATGGAGGATTTAGACACCACCACAGCACACTCCACTTCAGGACAGGAGGGGCGGGGTGTGGGTAGGGGAGACCCATGACACGGGCAGAGACTCTCTAAGCCACCAACAGGGCCCCATGCCCCTCCTGAGAATGCAACATGTGGTCTTCATCTTAATGCTCAGGGCCTGAAAACAGTTTTCCAATTTCCGGAATGGCTGCTGGCCATTGGCAGGCCACCACTCCAAAAGATAATAGAGGAGCCAGGCTGGGCCATAAACCACCTCCTGGCCGTGTTACAGTGTAGGCGCCACGGGCGCAGGCTCTGCTGGGTGGCCGCTGCAGCCACATTCATGCGGGAAAAGTGCAGTCATGTGAGACAGGGAAACAGTATCTGAAAAGGGGTGTGCAGGCCCTCCCTGCTAAGGACACACCCCAAGTCCCATTAAAAAAAAATAAAAAAAGAAGATTCCTATTTCATCAAAGAGATGAATAGTAGCTCATGTCTAGTCTTGCACTGGGAAGATGGGAGTCCCCTAAAAACCAACCCTTATCAACCACACGGGTGCAAGAGAGGGTGGAAGATGCTCGAGAGGCCTGGGTCCCTGGCCACCATCCACCTGACACTGCTGCCTGCTGGCCATGGGCCACAGGAACAGGGTCAGGGGCCAAGGAAGGCCAGAGAAGATTCCAGAAGGGTCTTCGAAAAGCACACAGGGCAAGAATGGATACTCAACTTATACGCCTGGGGAAGTCTGAGCAACACCAACCAGTTAAGAAATCTACAACCAAGCAAGAACAGCCAAGTGTTGGGACCAGCTAGTGCTGGGCCTAGGGGGTGCTGGGCTCAAGGGGTGCTGGGGGGTGCAGAGCAGGGTGGAGAAGTGAGGACGTCTCTGTAGTCACCTATTTGGACTGCCCTCAGGTCCCAGAAGACACCAGCTCCTCCAGGAGCCCTGTCCCAACCACAGAAGTCAGAGCCAGAGACTCGCAGCTGGGAAACTGACTGAGGCAAGCACCATTGTAAGCACATAAAAATACACACAGTGAGGTGGGTTCCATAACAGCGTCGTTTTACACATGAGAAAACTAATACTCAGAGAGGTTAAGCCACTTGTCTACAGTGACAGAGCTCATACGTGGCTGGTCCTAGAACCTGAAGGGCAGATTCTGCCAGGACTGGCTGCTGGCCATTGGCAGGCCTGTTCGTGTACTGGTGGGCCCAGTGCAGAACCGCCTCACTTCCTCCCAGCTCCCTGCAACATCTCCTGGCAGTCCTGGAGACTGTGGGCTCTGTGCAGGTGGAGGCCATCCTGTGTTTACCTGTGGCCTTATGCTTCAAGACGATGATGACTGCCATCAGGGGCCCTGCTGAGTACCCAATGTGAGGGAAAGTTAGAGGCCAGGGAGAGCTGTGAGCTGGACAGCAAGGACAAGGCAAGGGCCCGAAGGTAGCACTGGTGCTGCAGGGCCTGGGGTGGAGATGCGTACCTTGGCGGTGGCCAGTTCATGAGCGAGCTCCTGGACCCTCTGCTGCTGCTGGATCAGCAGCTCCTGGACAGAGGCTAACGTGGTCTGTACCTGCGTCACTGGGAGGGATAGAGCAGTGGCATGTCTGTTAAACGGATACGCATGGCTTCGCCTTCTCTTGGTCCACACACCTAGGAGCTGCCCGGACTGCTGCTACATCTAATTTATCTGCCGAGCCCCCCCCCTCCCCACTGTACATATAATTTATCTGCACTCCGGGTAATCTACCTGCACTGTATCTAACCTCTAGTATTTCTACTTTATCTTTCTATTGTGTGGTTGTCCATGGTCAACAGTATATCCGTCCAAAACCTCTCCCCTCTAATTACATCTGGCTATGATTTGCTTGGCTTGTCCAACTTCCACAGCATCCGTATCACTCAGCTCGCGGACCTGTGGTGTCCTTGTGGAACTTGTGGGCAGTCTCTAGTCCTGGGAGAGACGCACCTGAGGTCTGTCACATACAGGAGCGAGTGGTAAATGCTAGAGAGCCCATCTTTTTACCTTCCTGCCCACCTGCCGCCCAGCCCAGGGCTGCCGATGCCCCACGGTGCCACATGACCTGGTCTGGCCTCAGTGCAGAGCAGACACACAGAGGATTCCAGGGGGCTCCCAGGCAGGCCCCGAGAGACACAGTGCCTGCCTGGGACAGGTGGCTCTTCTGCCTGCCTCAGGTTTTTAAATTCCAAGGCTCTACGAGTAAACAAGTTTATAAAGGAGAAAAGCCACCTCTGGTGCGACAGGTCCCAGCTAATCTGGGCCATCACTGGGGCACTGGGTAATGAACGCGAGCCCTGTGGAGTCGATAACAGAGGAGGTGGCTGGGGTCACAGGAGCCGCAGTAATTACAGACTCTCTTGACCCTGCTTTGGATTCTTGGAGGGAAGGGGGAAAAAAATCACTGAAAAACCCCCCTGAAAACCTCATAGAAGCAGAAATTAAAAATGAACTTTACAGCCCTTAGAAAGGCTGTCATTTTATTCCCCTTATTAATATTCTGAGGTTGGGAGCCTTTCCGTAAAAACATAATTAATTGAGGCCGCGCCGACAGTAAACAAGCAATTTCAAATTAAACCGAAATGACGGCGGCTTCATTTGCAAATGTGAACAGATTCTCAGAGCAGATAAATGAAGTCACCACATAAAGTGGAGACGGAGGGGCGCAGGGAGGGGTGGCGCAGGGGCTGCTCGGGCGGCTCTGAGGGGTGACTTGATGGAGTCATTAATCTTTACCTGTCTGGGCCACGCTGCCACTCAGCTCTGCGAGGCTGGCCTCCATCCGCTCCAGCTGCTTCCTGTCCTCTCTGCCGCCCACGATGAGGGGGAGCAGGTATTTCTGCAAGAAGCAGGACAGTGTGAAGAATGGGTCCAGACTTGGGGCCACTCCTCGACACGCTCTCACTGCCGCTGGACAACTTTCTTGCTCATCCCTGGGTTCTATAGCCCGAAGCAAACACCATAAATGAACAAGACACATGACCAAGTTGAGAGAGCGCAGTAAGAACCATGCGAAAACTCTGCTTGATTAAGGACCTGGACTAGAAGGGTACGCCAGCGCATTTGAAAAAAGGAAGAGGACAGTCCATTGCGATGAAGAAGTTTGTTCTTTTATCTAGTTTTCTTAACGACTCTGCAATGTTTCTACAACAAAATAAAAATTACTTGAAAAGTTTTAAGATGACAATGTGGAAAGATACACAAACTGATGATCCTTGTTGCCTGCAGGGAGGAATGGATGCGGGCTTTTAAAATTCCACATTTCTTTAAATCTTTAAAATATGAATCATGTGAATGAATTATCCATTCAGAAATAAATGAGTAAAATGAAATAAACAAAAAAATTTACGAGAGAAACTAGATGCCAATCAGTAACATATTTGGGAAACTCGGGCCTTTTCCGGAAGCCACCTGTGGGGTGGGCCGGCTCATGGTGACTCTGTGTCCACTGGGGCAAAGCTGTGCTCCACAGCGCTGCCAGGGGCTGGCTTTTCAGACGCAGACAGGTCTTTCTTCTGAGGCACTTAAGTGAGCCCAGTGCTTTAACTTTTCCATTGAGCAGCCAAGGGCCGCAACAGCCTGCACCACACAAGAGCTCCTCATACTGTCTTAGAGCACGTCAGAGACGGTCCAGTTCCTCTCAAGCAGGAATACAGGGCCAGGGAGAAACAGGAGGAACCGGACAGGGTGAGGGGGGAAAAGACACTGCAGGGCAGCCAAACAAGGGGTTATATTAGGTGCCAGACGGGAGAGGACCAGGGTCTGAGAACATTCTGGAAGAGAGCAGGTAGCAGGCATAGCTAGTAACTGGTTCTCTGATGTAGAGGTAGGGGTATACAGGATGGCAGGTGGGAGCAACTGACAAGATGTCCTGTGAACCAAAAAAACTCGGGCTGTGGAGATGAGTCTCCCCACTTGAGGGGCGTGTGAGCAGGGTAGTTTGAGTATAAGCCAGGCCCTGCAGGTGAGGCTAAAGGACAGCTCTGGTTCTAACTACCTTTGAGTCCCAGACAGAAAAAACACAGCAACTTCTCCATTAAGGTTTCTATACTGAGGAAAGAAAAGTAGGTCTTTCACAAGGGGTTTGTGGGAGAACTCATTTCGAGAGCGACTCCTAAGTGAAGATCATTATTTAGCATATGTATAGAAGCATTTTCTATTTTGCAAAGTGCTTTTCAACCACGGTGTGAGTTATTACCCACCACTGAGCCGAAACTCATCAGATGTAGCCTTACATTTCAGATTGAAAATTTCCTAAGTCTGAAAGTCACTCTCCCAGTCTAATCTTGTCTTTCTAAAAACAAGATAGATACCTCTCCTTTTTCATTCTAAAGAAACTATTAGATGTTCCAGACATCCTCTTGTCACCACGGTGACTGGTCTTTTTAACATCTTTTTTATTTTAAAGAGAAAAAGGAGATCAGAGTTCTTAAAATCATCACTTGCCACCCATAGCAAAGGCAGGTGGCTTTCTGTTTCCATGAGGTCAGGGACTGTCCAAGGGCAGCCCTGGGACAAACAGGCATCTCTGAGCACGAGAGGGGCTTCCTGTGGCCTTGGTTGGAGGGTTCTAAGTCTGCACCTTATTCTTCTTGGTGACTGTCTGCACTCAGTACCTGAAGAGGGTTTCCATTCACAGTAAGGGTAGGCAGGGACTCAGCAGGACAAGTCCCCTGGCTCAGGACTTCATGCTTCTGAATTTCTGACATGAAAATTCCCAACTCCAGGAATAGGTGTTAAAATGAAAAAATTACATTCTGATATAGCTGTCATTAGCTTTTTGTACAAGGTCAAGAATTATGAACCCCCGAATATACTATTTTAAATGTGTCTCACATGCCAAAATTTACAGCAAGGAGTCTGGATGTTCACTCAGGTTCTCTGAAAATCATCTCCTAATAAGAGGTGGAGCTGGGGACCTGGAAGGAAGGAGAATGTTTTCCAGGATCAGTAGAGGCTGATACCTCTGGCTGCTGTTCTACCCTGTGTCTCTGGAACCTTAGCTGCTTCTGCATCTTCTGGAAAACATCTAGATTTGTTCCAACCAGCGTACAATACCTTGCTGCTTCCTGCCTACAGGTCTTTTGTAAGCAATGTGCTGGGAGAGTGGGGATTGACTTAAGAAATCAAGGGAAAGTCTTAGATTCCTAGGGGGTCAACATAAGAGTAAAAACTCTATCTCCAAATCTGAGTCTGTTCTAATCATGCAGAGATTCTCAAAGCAGATACTATTACAGTAGAACCACCACCACTCTCTACAGAGCACTTCTTGTAGGTCAGGCCTGGCTGTGGACACTTCCCATGCACCCTGCCCCTCACAGCAACCTCTCCCATTTTAGAGATGAGACTATTCAGCCAATAAAAGGGGCAGTGACACCTGTGGTGACACAGCTACCAAGCGGCAAAGCCAGGATTCAATGCAGGCAGGTATCTGCAGTGTCCACACTCAACCACTGCATGGTTACTGTGTGTTTGTTCCCACTCTAAGCACTTGGCAAAGGGGACTTATTAGTGGTCCTCACAGTTACCCTGAGCAGAAGACTGGCTATGGAGTGAGGGTGCAGTGGACGAGGCCAAGCTTCCCCAGCTGAGGGGCAGCAGGCCTAAACCCGATCTGCTATCCCTACACACAGCCTCACTCACTGGCATTTACTCTGTGGGCAGTGCCTCCACCACAAACAAATGTAGAACCGAGTGCCAGGTTGGAAGGGGCCCAACATATGGGTCTCTGAGATCAGGAGACTCACCTTATAGAGCTGGTGAAAGCCAAATGCGATTCCTGCCATGATGATGGTCAAGGCACCGTAATCCCTCCACCGGGAGCCTGCGGGGCCTGTGTGGAGAGAAGCAGAGTCAGGAGAAGGGGCACGTGGCATCCCTCCTGGGGAGAGAGAAGAGAGCTCAGAGGACTATGTGGGAGCACAGTGTCCACAGTAAAGTCTACAGCAGGCAACTCAGACACGAGGAACTGTCACTGACATCCGCTCCTCCTTCCGGCTGGCAGCACAGCGAACCTCAATTAGAAAGGTAAGGGATGGCCGGTCACCAATCTTTACAGTGCACCTCAGTCAGTACCCGGCAGTACACTGAGTGCCCGGCCTGGGGGGGGTGGGGGGGGGTCAGGCAGGACAGGGAGCTAAAGAGGAGCAGTCCCTGCCTTCAAGGAACAAACGATCCGGTGAGGAGGACACGAACTCACAGACACGGGACACACATCTCCACACACAGGCCTGAACCAGGGCCAAGCCAGATGGGGCGGGGATAGGAATGGCTCTGTCACCTTTCCTGATAAAGGTGTTTATTCAGAAATGCGTAAGTGCCACTGTGAGCCAGTGTCTGCAGCACGAAGCCAGGAGGAGGCCTACAGGAGTGAACGAGACCTGAGACCTCCCTGCTTGGTTCTGTTCTCACACTGAGCTGGTGGACAGGTGACACAAGTTAACGAACACATAAACTTCAGACAGTGGAGCTAGTACCAAACAGGTGACATGACACAGCAGGGGACAGCAGGCTGGGGCCTTTTTGGGAATGGCATCAGGCCCAGGCATGGTGCTTGCATGGGGCAGGGAGAAGCACGTGTGGACAGGTGTGCCTCGGGCTGTTCTGGAAAGGAGGGCTACTTCCGGCCAAGAGGGCCGCCAGGAGTGAGTACTCACAACAGAGAACCATGGGAGAGAGAGGGGACAGGAACCAGCAGGGGCAGGAGGACAGCCTCTCAAGTGGTGGCTGAAGAACCTGAATCCTGCTTCCTAAAGTTTCAATGGGTCTGACTGAGACTGAAGATGGGAGGGGCACCATGGGAGCCTTATTTTAGCGCAACACTGAGGGTCCAGGAAGAGAGAAAGAGGGACAAAGCAAGGAAAGGTCAGAGAAGGAGTGGAGGGAGAGAAAAACAACCCGCCATGGTCAAGGAGGAGCTGGAAATGGGCAGCCAGCCTCCAGATCCGCACCCAGCTCTGCACAGAACATCACATACGAGCGTTCCCAGTGAGCCCTGCACAGAACTTCCGTTCCACAAAGGGGAGACGTTTCTTCTGGTGATCTCTCCCCTTTACAGTTTACAAAGGATCTTCCTGTCCACAGCCTTATCGGATCCCCCAGTGATTCTCTGAATAAATAGGAAGCATTTGCTCCTCTGTGCACATCCACTTGGAGAGGCCCCCCCTGCCGGGTCCCCAGCCTGGTGTCCTGCTCCTCTCATGGGGGCATGAGGCATGTTTCCAGAACCCTTGAGGTGGAAGAAGGGCCAAGAGAAAAGTTCACTAACTTCTAAACACCAGAATCAGCCCACAGTGCCTGAGAACAAGGGGTCTGGGACAAGTGGTCCAGAAGGCTTCTGAAGCTCGTGGCTTTGAGAAGGGAGCTGAGAGCGGGGCTGAGGAGCTGATCCTTGGAAACCTGTTGGTCTGTCGCCAATACATGACTGTTATATCTCAGAGTTTCATGAAGGAAGAGGCAGGAGACAGACTTTTCCTAAAGTTCAGTGGGCTTTGGACAGGTGGAATGAACACCGCAACCAGTGCGGTTCAAGTGACAGAGCCCTCCAGACAGACAACAGAGGTGCTGCTGAAAGGGCATCTCGGGGGGCAGAGGTGAGGCTGATGGGAGGTGGGGTATGGGAGATGGGGTGAGGAACCGAAAGAGTCATGGTCACCACATCCCTCCAATCCATAGATTCCATACCAGGTTCCATGACCTGAGCCAGCTCTGGAGTCCAGTCCACAAAATTGTGACCAGCACATGACTTCTCCTTCAGTCCTCAGCATCTTTTTCTGTCTTATACTTTGTGAATCATAACACATTTACATAGTTCAAACAACAAACAGCCCAAGTCAGTACCCTGTGAAGTCTCCCTCTACCACTAGCCAATCACTGCTAATGGTCTCATGTAGTACCCTTCTAGAGAGTTCTATGCATGTATAAACCAATACAGATAGGTATTCTCTTCTCTCTTCTACGCATTTATTTTTCTTTGGTTTTCCTACAACTGTATATTTTTTAAAAAAAATGTTGATATTGTCTCTTATTGTACAATACATTATTTAGCTGTACAACCGTACAATACCAATTCCCTATCAGAGGATGTTTCAATCACTTGTAGCCTTTTACCATTTCAATGTTGCCATGAGTGTATGTATGTCACCTCACACGTATGTACAGGCACAAAGTAACCATTAGCATCATCAGTAAACGAAGATGAGTCAGATGATACAGTGAGAGCCAGAACACAACAGGAGGGCTGTGCTTTGCTGGATCTTCCAAGCTTTCTACTTTCAACACGGTGTAATCTGACCACTTTTCTATCACTCTCTACTAGTGAAAAATTTTGTTTTCCTTTTCTGACAGGTTTACACCTTACACAGGTTCTAGCTTCCGTAGGTTTTATTATATGTGCCTTTGTAATTCTGAGAAATACTGCCAAACTGCTCTCCTGGGGTGAACTGATTCGTGAGCCCCCAATAGTGCCCTCGAGGGCCTGTTCCTATAACACAATGAGTTCTTCAAACAGAAAAACAAGTGTTTGAGCTGTGTTCTGATGTGCATTTATCTTAAGGATGAGGGCTGAGTGAGCATTTTTTTTATCTGTGTTTTCAATGAACAACTGTTCCTATTTTTTTTTTTTCTACTAGATTTCCTTTAGCAATTTAGAGAAACTTTCTTTTTTTTCTTTTTTGGTATCGTCAAGCAATTGGCCCTTTGTCAGTGCTAAAATGACCAATATCCCTCCTGGTTTCTTTTTCTTTTGCCTCTGCTTATGGTGTTTTGTGGCATGTTAAGACACAATGGCCAATCCATTCTTTCACGGGTTTTGTGACAAAGTCTAAAAGGGCTTCCCCACTTCTGTTCAAGGTGGTGCCTAATCAGTCCAGTGCTTCTGCTAAGAGCTGGGCTGTAGGAGGAAACCTGCCATTTGAACCTGTAGCGAACTACTCCATCCATCAGGAATCTATGTGGATAAACACCTGCCACTCAGAAAGTCTGCCCACACTGAGGTAGGAGGGTCTTTTACCATCACCCTGAGGAGCTAGGGCAGTCTAAGTTCCTGGCAGGCTGCTATCCTGTCTCCCCTCACCTGCCAGCTCTGCTATGGGGTCTGACACTTCTGATGTGAGCTCCTTTAGGACAGTGTAAAGGCAGAGCAGTGCAGTCACTTTTCTAGAGACTCAGGGAGAGCTTGAATCCACATCCAGAACACCCTATCTGTGCATCCAAAACCCTCAGAGAGTGAGTCCCCTTTCAAATGGGGTGCGTGTTCAGAATATCATACTCACCACTGATTTCTAACTAAGTAATAAAAAAACAACACTTGTACCCAGGCCAAAATCTGACCAGAGCCCAAAGTTTGTGGGATTCTTCTTCCTTCCTGCAAACTGATTACACAGCCTGGGAAGCATGGCCTCCTTATCTCGAGCGCTCAGAACTGGCGAGGGTAGTGAAGCTGGCAGGCCCAGGGCCCGGGGGCCCAGGGTTCCCGCACAGACTCTCCTCAGCCTGCAGGAGCACCTGTGGTTCCGGCAGCTCACCCTTCACCCTGCACGGCTCTGCCGCTCCTGCCATGCTCACGCTAAGAACATTTTATTGCCCCCTGGTTTTCATTATTAATGAAAAGGGACCAGAATGATCTTTCCTAAAGTTCAGAGAGTCTATAAAGACAAGAAGCTGAAATGCCATTTTACTCGTTTTGGAGATGTGTGATACAATTCTGTCTTGTGGCAAAATGAAAAAGGAGAAAAACTGAGACGATAAGCACTCTGATCCGCTGCTCAGCTCTGGAAGGGTGACAGGCAAGGCTCCTGTACTCAGTGTGCTTCCAGACCTAACTCTACCCTCCAAAAAACCGCCTGCATCCCCTCCCTCACCCAATCCTCTTTCTCCAAGTCCACTACAGACCCCATGGGGGGAACAGAGATCTAGGGACGATAGCTCCTCTTGTCATCATGTTGCAAATGTCCTGACTGATAGAGACAAGGCTGGGTCAGTCACGCTTGTGGTTTGTCTAGCCTGGAAGTAAAGAACACAGAAGGGATAAACTTTTTTAAAACATGGGAACAATTTCACCTAGAACTCAAACCTGCAAGCCAAATATACCTGAGCCTACACATACTGCAGATGGGGACAAGCAGGCAAGAAGTCAGGGGTCAGAGACCCTGCTCCCCATCATGCACAAGATGCTTCCAAAGACATTTTTCTCTGCTGATCGAATACAACAGAATCCCCAGCTGGCACAGATGGTTAAAGCACTTGGTTGCTAATCCACAAGTTGAAGGTTTGAGTCTATCTAGAGGTACCTGTGAGAAAGAGGAAGATCCTCAACAGAGTGGATTAGCAAAATGACTGCAACCATGGCTGGAACATGTTGTAGACTGTAAGGGTGGCACAGGGTATGGCAAGGCTCTGAGCTGTTGTTCAGAGGGTCACTATGAGTTGTAGCTGACTCGATGGCACTCAGCCACCACCACCACCATCACTACTTGAGCTACTTGTGACAAGAGGCCTGGAGAGACCTACTTTTGAAAAATCAGCCATTGCAAACCCTATGGGCACAGTTCTATTCTGACAAACAGCGGGATGCCAGAAGTCAGGATCAACTTGATGGCAGCTGACTTTATCAAGCACAGAGCATGTGCGTGAGGGGGTAGGGCTTTGTGAGAGCTAAAGTACCCAGAAACAATGGTGTCTTTCTCTTACTGTGAGCTCAGTTAACTGTCCCAAAGGCACAATCGGCCAAGCAGCTGTATAACCCGGCACTTCAACGCCATACTGGTGATGAGTAATGAGGTCAAATGTGGACTTACCCTCATCCAAATATTTCTGGGATTGACGTTATGCCTT